TAGTTTCTGTTTTGCCGCAGATCGCTCATTTGTCATTATCGATGTATCCCCAGGACTTGAGGAGATATCTTACGCGGATAATTCTATGGATCAATAGCCAGATTAGATTGTTCTTCTTGTTTTCAATTAGCTTTAGGCGAGACTTACGCCACACCCAGGCCCAACGATTGATGGGGCGGTCCACAGCAGACGCCCAAAAACCGGAGCACCAGGGTGCAACGCAGACGGGGTCAAGCAACAAAAGATATAAATACTTACTGGTGAGTAAATCATGTAAAGCACCAGTTTTTTGATCCAAGGTATGGAAATTATCTAAACAAAGCCGGTTGCAATTTGAAGGAAGGAAGGAAGGAAGGAAGAGGGACCAGAATTGGTGGAAAAAGAAAAACGGGGATCTAGAATGGTTAACTTGTGTCCTAAAAAATATCGAGCTAGGTAATGCCATTTGGATGTGCCAAAGTCATCTCTTAAACTGGAAAAAACAGAAAGGCGCAGACTAGCGCACTTAGCTTTAAAATTAACGACGTTGAGGCCCCCAGAGGATGGGCGCGCACAACAGCGATCGCGACTAACATTTTCCATTTTCCCTTTCCAGATAAGAGGCCAAACGATCGATTTAAATTTAAATGGGGGTCATCCCCCCACCCCAATGGGGTGGGGGGATGACTTTAGCAACGTGCCGTAAACGGCTTGCGACGTAAGTAGTAACAATTAAGGTCCTACTGATAAAAGAAAGGTCTCTTTGTTTCCAAAGATTTAGAACCGAATTTAGTTTGTCTAATTTGGCCTGCCAGTTGTCGTCGTTGACATTGACGAGGCCGTTTGAGAGGTAAACACCTAGCACTCTCATTTTAGTGACCCATCTGAGGCCATAGGGAGATTCAATTCTAGTTCGCCATTTTCCTAACCACATTGCTTAAGATTTGGACGTGTTTAGTTTAGCACCAGATCCTTGTTCAAATTTTGATACGATTCGGAGAAGTGAAGTAAGAGATCTTTCGGATTTTAAGATGCAGGTAGCATCATCAGCGTACTGGGATATTTTATATTGAAGGCCCCCTGCTTCGGGGAGGAGGAAACCTTCAACATATTTACAATTACGGATTTGCGTTGATAATACTTCTGAGACTAGCACATAAAGGAGAGGAGATAATGGGCATCCCTTGTCTCACCCCTCTCCGTAAGTGGAAAGGGGGGGACAGGGAGCCATTAACAATGATTCTAGAGAAGGCTTTAGAATAAAATAGTTCGACCCACCCACAAAAGGAGGGGCCGAAACCAAATTTACGTAATACTCTCATCATGAATTCGTGGTCAACTCGGTCAAAAGCTTTTTCTTCATCTAAGGAAATGAGAATACCTGGTTCATTTGTTTTGTCAATCATGTCAAGGGTATCACGAAGTAAGGCCAAATTTGAAAAGATACTGCGGCCGACCACGCCGCACGTTTGGTCTGAGTGCACAATGGAGTTCATGACTTTTTTCAATCGTTCAGTGATGATTTTAGATGCTAACTTATAGTCAGTGTTTAACAAGGAAATTGGGCGCCAGTTTTTTGCGAGGCGTCGATCGTCTTTTCTGTGGATGAGTCGTAGGAGGCCCTCGTACTGGCTATCCGCGAGGGAGCCAGCAAGGAAGGCCTCGTGCAAAACAGAAAGGAGAGATTCAATCAAAACGTTCCAAAAACACGAATAAAATTTTGTTGGAAGGCCATCAGAACCGGGTGACTTGCCGGTTTGAAGGCCATCCAAGGCAGCAGACAGTTCAGTTGCCGTAAAAGGGCCTTCGCATAAACTGCGTTCAAAATCAGAGAATGACAAACTTAGATCATCGTGTATTTCTATTTGAACTTGCATGTCTAAGGGATCTTTAGAGAATCGATCGTTATAGTAATTAGTTAGAATGTTTACTAGATCAGGTTGAGATTTTTTCTCAATGCCATTTCCGTCCAAGAGGGATTCAAAGGAATAGCCCTTATTGAAGTTGAATACACTGATCAGACACTCCAGCGGTATTTAGCACCAAAGTGAAGCATTAGGGTCGATGTTTGATTCAAGCTCAAGAAGTGATAAACATGTCAACTTTTAATAGTCATAAAAATACAGTAGATTCTGTGATTTTTACAGCTGAGGAGAAAGCCCAGTTACTGTGCGGAGACTGCCCGCGCCAAATAACGATAGATAGACTAAAGCAGACGGTGGCTGTCGTGTCGAAAAGGAACGGCGAAGGATGGAAGTACGCGTTCCGACGCCACAAAGGCCGAACTCGCACAAAGGTAACTTAATTTATGTAAAGACCTCTATTACCTACATATATCTCGGCAACAACTGTAAGCTAAACTTCTTTTCCGTTCTTTTAGGGTCTTCGGCTATATTAAGAATGGTTGGGAAAGTAATTTTTACTGAGAAAAGGAAGCACTTGGCATCAAAACAACCACACGAATTGATGGTCTCTACGACCACAGCAACAACTACAAACAATGCTGCTTGTATTGTTTCTTCGGACACAGTCTGGCCACCAATAACCCAAGCTAAGGATATTGTTCCTAATTTCACAATGCAGCATTTCTTAGCCTATTTCATAGAGAGGAAAGTCAAAGAAAACGAGTCAAACAAAGATTATAAGAATGTTAGTTTGAAAGCATTTGGTTTATTTCGACATGGACATATCCAGCAAATAGAAGTCGCTTGTGAGGATCATAGAGAGGAAAGTCAAAGAAAACGAGTCAAACAAAGATTATAAGAATGTTAGTTCGAAAGCATTTGGTTTGTTTCGACATGGACATATCCAGCAAATAGAAGTCGCTTGTGAGGATGATAAAGTCTACTTTAAGTGTTTTTGCCTACCTGAAATGAAGAAAAGTTTAAGTTACAATGAAAAACTGACTTTATCCAACGATGAAGTGGTGTTTGCTAGTTGCCCTTGCCCAGCTGGTAAAGGTCCTCGTGGATCTTGCAAGCATATTGCTGCACTTTGCTATGCCCTGGAGGAATTTGTTAGACTGAAATGTTCTAGAGAATTTGAAACCTATACTTCAAGACTCCACACCTGGAATCAGCCACGAAAAAGAAAACTTCAACCCCAAACAGTATATGGAATAGATTTTTCGAAGAAAGTGTACAACAGAATAGAAACACTGCTAAGCCACTTAATGATCCCAGACGCCCATGTCACAGAACTAATAATGTTCAACAAGCCAACATGGAACTTCTTGAGCTTATTAATAATGTGAAATCTAACAGTGGGTTCTTTACCTTGCTCTCAAGTGAAAAGGCTCAACAAGAAAAGCCTCAGATAATATCTCCAATCAAGGTGCATCCAGTCTCATTTTATGATATACAGGACAGGGCTAGGAGAGTAAAAGACAAACTAAGACTAACTGATCAAGAAAGAGATAAAATAAAACAAACAACAAAGTTACAAAGTAAATGCCAGGAGTGGTTTGAGCACCGAAGAATAAGAATCACTGCGTCTCAATGCAAAAGAGCACTACTTAAGCCAACGACTAGTCCAACAGAGGCAATAAGAGATAACCTGAACTATAACAATCCATATTCAAGTAAATGCATGACTCAGGGATTGGAAGATGAGGCATCCATACTAAATATGTATTAAGAGAAACTATGCTGCAAAGCTATGGATTCAGGCTTTGTAATTTCTCAAAGCCATCCTTTCCTAGGGGCCTCACCTGATGGAGAAGTAGATGGGGGACTGGTGGAGATGAAGAGAATATTTTCCAATGGGATTTCACTCAAAGAGGCAGTGCGTAGTCGTGGTATCTGTAAATATTGCAGTGATGGGCTAGTCATCAATCCATCTCACAAACTTTTCTGCTAAGTACAGCTACAGATGTTTTGCACTGGGTGTTTATGGACAGACCTTGTTTTATCAGAATTTAAAGAACTGATCATCTTACATGTCAAGAGAAATGATCATTTTTTATCAGATGTCATCCCTAAACTGGAGAAGTTTTATGATTCACTTATAGTTTTAGAGTTAGCATATCCAAGAATCTCTCTCGGGCTTCCCAGATTAAGTAAATTACCTGACAGACAAGTTTAAATTGATATTTTTCACAATTAATGCTACAATATGCCCTGGGATGATAAAAAGCGTCTCACCATTCGCGCAGGGAGACGAACTGCAGGATTTTGAGTTTAAAATCAGAAATCGATTTCGACATGGTATGTTTGAATTCTATATCAGAAAGTAAGCGAGTATGAAATTTCCAGATGCCGGGACCATGATTAGAGCGGTTAGTCGTTAGTTCAAATTTTACAAAGTCATGATCGGATAGTACGTATACGCATGGAAGAATATTACATTTCGTTACTGGGGTTAGGCCTTTAGCTATGAGAAAGCGGTCAATTCTAGATACCTGTGTATGATCTTTGTAAGACCAGGTGAAACTTACTTTGCGCGGGTTGTTTTTACGCCAAATATCTGTAAGTGAGAAATCAGCACAAAGGGATCGGAGAAGTTTTTGATCAGACAATGGGATAGCAGAACAATTTAGTTTATCTAGGACATTGTCTACACAATTAAAGTCTTCCCCGATCACTAGATCACCTTGGGGGAGAAAGTAATTATGCAGTCAAGAGAAAAAACTTTTACGATCTGAAATAGCATTGGGAGAGTGAATATTTACGAAATTTAATTTAGAATTATAGTAGTCAATGAGTAAGCTCACTATTCTTCCGTCGGAATCGGTCAAAAAACGGATAATTCTGCCTAGGAAGTTTAAAGAAAAAAGGATGGCAACACCGGCAGACCTGCCAGCCCCGAAGGACCACAGACATTTGCCGCGCCAGAGTGTTTCGAATTCCTCCGCTTGTTTTTTACATGAGACATGTGTTTCTTGGAAAAAGATTATGTCACAGTTTGAAAATTTAATTCTTGAATAATCTTCCTACTTTTTCTAGAAAACCCGAGTTCTCGCGCATTTAAGGAAATTATTTTAAGCTTACTCATCGAGTTTGGTTAATAAACAAATAAGCAAATTAATAGATAAATTCATATCTGTACCGCCTTCTCCTGACTCTTTCCCATCCGTCGTCGCTATCAGTATCTGAATAATCGCGGCGAGAAGATCTGTCTCGGTCATCGCGCTTGCGATAGCGGTCATGGTCGCCTCTTCTCTCTTCCCGCTCATCTCTTCGATCATTCTTTCGGTCATCTCGCCGTTCATCTCGCTCATCTCGCCGTTCAGTCTTCGCCCCATCCCGCCGCTCATCCCCTCGCCCATCTTTTCTTTCAGAGTCCTTTTGTCGCTCGTCGCGTCCCTCAGGGGGTTGTTTCCTTTCTTCCTTCGTTTGCTTCTTTCGCTCTTCGTCGTGTTTACGTTTGTCTTCCTTTTCGCGTTTTTCCTTCATGCGTTTCAGTCGTTCATCCCGCTCCATTTTCTTCTGTTCCTCCGTTTTCTCTACCTTCGCACCGGCATCAATAGGCCATTTTACAGTTGTGTACTCAGTTGCCAAGCCTTTGATTCAGAGTGAGGCTAAAGATGACCTTGTTATGATAGAGACCTGTATCTAGTTAGCATGATAACAAAGTGATTTACATTTGAAAGGCAGCAAGGTTTGTATCATAACAAGGTCATCTCTAGCCTCACTCCCGTTCAAAGGCTTGGCAACCAAGCACACAACTGTAAAATGGACTATTTGCGCTGAAGAGAACGAACGGGCAGCTGTCTGACAAACAAACTGAACATTTAGCCCCTTCCTCGCAATCTTCGGAACGGTGGCCAGGGCGCTCACAGTTAAAGCAACGAACTGTTGAGCATTCCCTGGCCAAATGGCTCTCATCACCGCAGTTTCTGCACGATTTAGGCTGGTTCAGGCACCAGATACGTATCGTCTCACCGGCCACGCGGATAGTATTTGGGATCTTGTGGGCGATAATCATTCTGGCCGTTCGCACTCCGTTCTCGATATGTTGTGCGATCAGATCACGGCGGAAGCTGAAGACACGGCCATAGTGGCTAAGCTGGCCAGTTAAGGCCGTATCCAATTAAGGACCTTTTTAATGAACCTTCTTCGAAAGTTACATCAAAAAGTTCTAGAGCGCTTTATTTTCTCCGAAAAATCGAAAAGTTCGAATTACCCCTAAATGGCTGTTGTCCTCTTCGTAAAGCACTGAAAAATGATACAACTTTGGCAACTTCGTACGCTATGCAATCCCGCTTTTAAATTTTGTGTACAGATGGTCCTTTTATCTCTTAGAAAATATCAATTTCTTGTTATTTTGTTAGGTTCAAGTTTGAATAGTAACCCGTTGAAATAAAGTACGTTGAACGGCTGTCACGCAAGAGGTTATGTATTTCTAGCCAAGTGGAAAGATTGGCTTTCACCTCTTGCGTGACAGCCGTTCAACGTACTTTATTTCATCCGTTACTATCTGGGGCGGATCCAGCATTTAGTCAAGGGAATTCGGAGGGGGGTTCGGAGAATCATTCCCCTTATGAGGGATCCAAGATTTTAAAAATTAAGTCGTCGGAAACATGATTTCCAGCGTTCTGAGGGAAAATTTAGGGGGTTCGACCAAACCACCCGAACCACCCCTGGATCCGCCCCAGACTATTCAGACTTGAACGTAACAAAATAACAAGAAATTTTTATTACTATGATAAAAAGCAATAGCATACAGGTTCTTCGTAACAGAATTTGAAACAGGATATTGGCGGAGATGACCCCTCATACCATTTTGCCCTCCATTTAGCTTTTTTAGCTTTCAACTTTCCCCCGAAAACAAACAAAATGGCGGCGTCGGGCTGCCAGGAGCTTGGATCCGATACGAGTGATTTGAATTGTGGGTAGATCATAACAACAGTTCGAACGTACTGCATATAACGACAAACGTACTGTAGATAACGACAAACGTACTGCATATAACGACAAACGTACTGCATATAACGACAAACATACTGCATATAACGACAAACGTACTGCATATAACGACAAACATACTGCATATAACGACAAACGTACTGCATATAACAACAATCGCACTGTATATAACGACACACGTACTTCATATAACGACAAACGTACTGTATGTAAGGACAAACGCACTGCATATAACGACAATCGTACTGCATATCACGACAATCGTACTGCATGTAACGATAATTGTACTGCATATAACGACAAAAGCATAGCTTATAACAAAGAAAATTGACATAAGAAAGTCATGGCGTTCCACATTATTTATTATCAAACACGCCAAACTGTTATTTCAGTGCGGGCGAATTTTGCGGATATTCATTTACGGGGAGTGCGAGACAGAAGTATGCGAAGCGGAACGAAATTGGCGCTTTGTTGTGTTGCTGTTTCTATTTTCTTCATTAAATGAAGAACTTTTCTGGTCGTCAAGCTGTTTTTCTTCGTTCGATTTATCTAATGACCTTGGATCAATATCTGCCAGCCATTCTGACTATTCGTCGTCGGAAATATGATTCCAATTGTCCGCCATTTGTTTTTTGTTTTTCGTAACTACAATCCAATTCTTCGCTTGCGCGATGCGAGAAAACCTGTTTAACCGGTACTCTACAATAGACGAGTACAAATACAGCGTGATATTTGTACTCGTCTATGGCGTTATTTGTACTCGTCTAGGTGTAGTTGGATAATAAAGAGTCATCCTGGGTACTAGAGTGAATCCGGATACGTGTGGACGGGCCAATTCGATTTGAATACGCTGTGATCACAACGTGTGGACGCAGATATATTTTCGTATCCGGAAAGCAAAAGTTGCGGATTCAAAAATATCCGGATACGTGTGGACGGGGCCTTAATCTATTCGACACTGTAGACTGTCGACAACCGAGTGGTATTATATAAGGTGGTTTGCAACCAATCTCTAGAGACACAGGTAACAATGGTGAAAGGAACAAATGCTGGTGGACGAACTAAAGAAGCTAATGAGATACCCATTGTTTACCTCCACCAACATGGCGGCCATGACGTAACGTGCAAACCACCTATAGTATCTACAAACTCGGACAGTTTGTCCACTAAAAAAAACAAAAAAAACTGTTGGAATCGCTTGACATTTCTAGACAAACATCTTATATCCCTAAGATGCATAGAAGAACCCTTTCATTGGATATTCTGTAAAAAATTACTAACTGCCGGGTGCTCGGCTGTTGAGCCTTCAGTCACAGCGTTGTAAATTACGAGTCATAACGTTTTAAAGTCTTGAAAGACTGATGAAAATAAAAGTCTACCTGGTTTTTTTAGTGCGTTTTCGTGAGTGTATTACTTTCTGATGATTACATGGGAACTTCTGGGTTATAAAAATGGCAGATGGGTCCTTTGAATAAATTCGTTCACGTCGCACACTATTGTAAAATTACAGTTTACATTTTCCAATTGAAATGATTGCTCTTTAATAATTATTAGTAAGCACACTTTCTAAATGGATAGTAAAAAATATTTTGGATTAATATGGCTATTTCTATATCTATCCTAGCTTTGAGTTATTTCTTTCTTTTCTCTCTCATTACCGAGTGATGAATAAAACAATAGCTCGCCTTTAGCAAAG